TACAAATAAAATTAGTCAACAAATTCTAAAATGTAATCTACATTTTAGCAAAAAAAATTATCAATTGTTAAAAAACTATTTTTATTTTACAAAAAAAAAATTAACAAAATAATTGTCAAAAAAACAACTATTCATTTTATAAACAATATTTTTAATCAAAATAATTCTCAAAAAATACTCTCTATTAAAAATAAATAAATAAAAATTAAAAACGTGGCTTTTTTGACAAAACCAAAGATTAAACGTCAAAACCGTATATTAAAAAAAACATATTTTTTCACAAAACTGTAGGCTCCTGTTTGGGAAACCGTAGCTTATACAGAGCAAACTGTAAGTTTTAGCAAAACCTACGGTTTTATATATTGAAAATGGAAAAGAAAATTATACTAAACACGAAATAATAGACGAATCTAAATACCTATGGTTTCGTGGGCTATTTTGGGACAATTCCTAGTTTTGGTTAAAAATTGCTAATCACTTCCTTAATTTTGCTAGATTAGTAATTAGCCTTTTAAAATATAAATATCATATATGTCTTTTTGAAAAGTCTATATATATATATATATATATATATATATATATATATATATATATATATATATATATATATATATATATGTATGTATATATATATATGATATTTTGACTTTTTAGAAAGAGGTACCAAAGAGGATTCGTTCACCAAACTACCAGCGTATCTGCACAACTTGGTCAAACATAATCCAAGAACTGTTACTCAGATAAGAACAGACGATGATGATCGGTTAGAGTTCGTGTATGTCGCGTTGGGTTGCTTGGTAAGCAGTGATAATTTTTTATAACAAATATAACATATAAATCCTAATTGGTATTTGTTAATGCAATCAAAAATAACTGTAGGTACAAGCTTTCATCAAATATTGTAGGCCGACCCTAATAATTGATGGTGGTCACCTAAAGGGTGAATTCGAGGGTACGATGTTGCTTGCAGTGATAATGGACGGTCAAAACCAAATAATGCTTGTTGCTTATGCCATATGCAAAAGTGAATGTACGGAGACATGGTCTTGGTTCCTTCGAAAACTACATGAATATATTGGCAACCTGGAGGACCTTACATACGTATCTGAAAGGGCTCCATCCATAGCGACGTCAATTGCAAATATATATCCTCACGCCCATCATGGAATATGTGGTATCCATTTGTATTTCAACATTTCAGCAAAATTTGGAAGCAGCAATACAATACACACATTATTTTAGGAGACATGCAAAGCCTATACTATTAGAAAATTCGATAATGGGTTGAAAAAAATTAAAAAGGTAAATGTTGGTGTATGGGAATACCTACAAAACATCAATCCAAAAAGATGGGCCAGGGCATATTTTCCTAGGAATCGGTATTTTCTTATGACATCAAATAGTGCGGAGTCGATAAATTCAATGTCAAGATTTGCAAGAAAGATGCCAATATTGATGTTTACTGAGTATTTTCGTGCAACAATGCAACAATGGAGTTTCAGAAACATGATGTTGCAGGTACTAATATTTTATATATAATAGTACCTAAAATGTTATTTTACTAGTCATATGATATTATGAAATTATGTATATTTTTTTAGCTGAAACAAAAACAACACTCACCCCATGGGCTAAAATGATTATAGAAGCAACTAAGAATGCTTGTAATAATTGGATGGTGTACCCTATCTCAAATAGTAGATTTGAAGTGAAAAGCTCTACTCACAAAAGTGTCATTGTTGATTTCCAACAAAGAACCTGTACATGTAGGCGGTGGCAAATAGATGACTTACCTTGTGGCCATGTCATAAAAGTGTTCACAATGAACCGTTACGAAGACTGTTCGGAATTTGCTTTAAAATCTTACTTTACAGAGATACTGAGGAAAACTTACGAGGAGTCTGTGAACCCCTTACTAAGTCCATCTGAGTATGAGATACCCGATAATTTGATGATTGTGAAGCCACCCACAATGAAGAGATGCCAGTCGGGTAGGCCACGAACACTGATCGTATTCCGTTGCAAGGTGAGCGTCCCATACGACAAGAATGTTCTACATGCGGTCAATTTGGACACACGAGGAACGATTGTACAGGTAGAGGATCGGGGAGCGGATCTGGGGTGAGGAAAAATTCGACATAAAAGGGCATAATGACTAAGCGGGTCACAGAATGAAAGTGTGTATCATACTTTTGATTTCGACATCACATTTGATTTAAATTTTCCTTAGATTAATGTAGGAAAATAATGAATTCTCGTATTTGTAATTTGTACTGCTTGTATTAAACTGCACTTCTGACATTATTAATTAAATATAGTACCCCACTGATTATCTACTTTATTCCATGAAAAATAAAACACCAAAAATAAAACATTATAGAAAACGAGATACACCAGTAGCAAACATTACATAAGACATTTCACATATAAGAGCCTTCTACATGAAATATTTGTTATTTTTAACTAGAATTCAAGCATCCTCATACTCAAAGTCACTTCCCTCGTGCTCCAAAATGTAATGATCTTTAACAATTTCTAAAAGATCTTCGTCGTTGTTTGGATAACGATAACTATTATTAAGATGATGATACCATCGATTGAACCATGTGATTTTTTTCCTTTAAATCCATCCACTTACCAACAATATCTGTTTGTGTTCGGTGTGTTCCTTCTCCCAACGAGAGGTTAAACATAGTTGTTATGCGGGTCCATTCATCACCTTCAAAGCCATCAGGTTTAACTATGGTTGTTAAATCCTCATAAAAGTTCATCCAACATCGTATTACCACCATTACCTCTCTTATCATCCATGGATGTGGAGTATTGGACGGAGCAGCTGCATTGGAAGAAGTTGTTTGATTGGAGACCATTTTTTAAATTTGCTTGTTAGTTTGTTTAATTTTAAAGGATTACTTAAATAAGAAAAAAGACTGACAAACAATTAGGTGGATTCCCATAAGTACTGTTTGAAAAACTACATTACGCAGGCTACAAAGCAGTAGTCAAGGTCTATGAAACCGTAGTCAAATAATGTCAAAGTGTAGTCTAATTGTCAGATACCTTAAACGAAAATACTATTTGAAACGACAAATCTATTGTTCGAAATGATAATACATTATGCAGGCTACAAAGCAGTAATCAAAGTCTATGAAACCATAGTCAAATGTCAAAGAGTAGTCCAATTGTTAGATACCTTACTCGGAGATACTGTTTGAAACGACAAATCCATTGTTGGAAATGAAAATACATTATGCAGGCTACAAAGTAGTAGTCAAAGTCTATGAAACCGTAGTCAAATAATGTTAAAGAGTAGTCCAATTGTTAGATACCTTACATGGAGATACTATTTGAAACGACAAATCTACTATTAGAAATGACAATACATTATGCACGCTACAAAGAAGCAGTCAAAGTCTATGAAACCATAGTTAAATAATGTCAAAGAGTAGTCCAATTGTCAGATACCATACATGAAAATATTGTTTGAAATGAAAAATCTACTGTTGGAAAAGACAATACATTATGGACCTTGCCTTTCCACCTCCTACATACAATGTGTCCATATGTGGTAAGACCGTTACCTCCACAACCTTAGGCAAACTAATTAATTGGTAATTATCTCTTATATCTGATTCAAAATGAGTTTCTGTGATCCTAAGCATTAAGAAAGCTTTAACAACTTACTTGTTTACCTTCATAACCTAAGTCGAACCAACTCGCATACTCACACTCACATCAAAACAGATTTGATGGATCGTTTCCAATCTTGTTTTCTGGCTATTGGATGGGTCGTATATTTGTTTTCCAAATTTCTATTGTTTCTTTACATTTGATAATGTTGCTACATTTAAACTAATTGGTTTGCACTCCAAAAAAAAAAATACAGGTCCATGCATTCATAAATTGTTTTTTGCCTGTCATCTTCATAGTTAGTTTCCGTCTTAGAGGCGACTACCTAAAAACAATGTTTGTAGCGGTTGCTAAAGATGGGAACAATCTGACTTTCCGTATAGCATTTGGTATGGCGGTTAAAATAATCTCGTAAGTTGTACCTAGTTCCTTATGAGGTTAAAAGAAATTATTGGATAGGGTAGAGAAGTAGCGTTCACATCCAATATGGACGATGCCGTTATATTTTCACTGATTCTTATCATGAGTACACTTGTAAGAGCGTTCACAAATATTTACGCACAAAAGTAGGCTCTGGAAGATCATTGGAAACTTTGTTGTGGATAACATTAAAAGATTACACTATGTCTATTTTTGACCAAAATTTTGCTAGGCAAAGCTGTGATGCTCATGAAATGCTTACGAATATCGGTCATCCAAAATGGGCAAGAGCCTATTTCCCTATCATCCGTTGGAATGTACTTGACATGGAAGTTCCTCAATTTTTTCAGTATTATCGTTCAATCAACGTAATGTACTGATAACAACGCTTATCGAGGGTATTCGTGAGTACATGCAACATACGTTTGTTTAACGAAGTTTAATGGCAGGTAAATTTTCGGGCGCAATATAAAAGTATTAAATAACTTGTACAACAACCTTTTATAAGCATATTTATTTTTCAGGGAGTTTGACTACCGTACCCACACCGTGTATTACTTTTTTACTCACACGATCAACTTCTAGCCAAGATTTACATCCATCCAACGGGTCAATCGGATTTCCCATTGCACTTCCTGCCCACTGGAACATCTCAAATGCACCAAAAAATGATGATAACATGATTGTCCATCGTGCATCATTCGGTCTCCGCTCATTCAAAAGCCTTCCCCATATGTCAACATGCTGCAATTAAATTTAATTTAAACATAAGGAGCTTATAAATTATTTAAAATTTAAATATAAAGAAATTTTTCATACCGCTTCATCTAAAAATCCCAAGTCACTTGCATAAAAAAGTAGATCCCAAAAATTTTGCTTCCATTTTTTCATTGTATAACTGATGTTTCATAAAAACATCCGGTTTGTTTCCCATGTATAAAGAAGGGGCGTTACAACCCAGCATCACATAAGGCTCCAATAAAAGTGTTGGGGATCGCTGATAGATACGGGGGTGGTGGTTCGTTGCATATTACCCTACCTTTACGATATCGGGGGACATTTTGAACCTACATTATATATGTGGTTAATAACTATACATATAGTAACAAAATTTTAGTAAATATAATTTTTAACATACTTACCGAAATGTATGGAGAGCTAAGATATTGAGAAGGTTTCAATAGCCTAACTGAACGACTTGGTTTTGCAATAGGAGGCTCGGGTACATGTTTTTCCGCATCCACAATGTCGCTATCAACAACTTTCTTTTTCTTCTTCTTCAACAAAAAAAAACATATTAATTTTTTTAATATACTTTCAAAAAATAAAAAAGTTAATATAAAAAAAATTATAACCTCCTTCACGATTTGTTTTTGTTTTCTACAATCAAACTTTGGTTTATTATCAACATCATTATCCTCGTTTATTCGATTTGAGTTCCGTAAACTACCGAATTGTTGGCCCACCGGGCTTGGCATCCGATAATTACCATCCACATTCTCATTCCCCTACATTTAAAGAAAAAATAATTAATAAGAAGCAAAGTAAATTTAACAATTAATTATTTTACCTCAAAAACTTCGTTAAAAATCGATAGTAAATTTTTAAAATTAATTATTTTACATCAAAAGCTTCGTTAAAAAATTCTTCCAAGTCATCCTCTTGTCGAATCCCCCTTTATTTTTCATTTCTCGGATTTCTTCCTCCAAAGATTAAAGTCTTACCAGTATTTCTCGGGCTATTCTTTTGTTAATTCTCACCGTATGAGTTTGTTTGGTGGACTTGGTAGATTGACTGTTTCCACAGGATGGATTAGACGAAGATGTCCCCTATATAAATTATTTGATTTATCAATAATAGTTGAAAAATATTAATATACTAGATTCTACTTTTACCATTTTACTTACATCTTTTCTAAAACTGTAGCGTACCGAAGAAGGGACTTCCGACGATTCACAATTCAAACTAGTAATATATGACAAATAATGTGTGGTAGAGGACTTGGCATATGAGGCAATCATCTTTTTTTTTGGGTTGATGCACCCCGTCCTGGTCAACATCGAATACATTGCAAACTTTCTCTCAAGTCAACCTCATAATATGAAACCACCGCAAGATACGAGGATATAAATTATTTCGTCGTATCGCATCATTTCCCCGAACTATTGGGAACATCTCCCATATCCATATCTTGTAATAAATATACATTCATTTATAAATGTTAGCAATAAATAAAATTATCAAAAAATAAAGACCGAAAAATTTATAAATATATTTTTTTAATTACTTAAATATACCTTCAAAGGAATAACAAAACCCGATAGTGTATACACATAAGGTTTTGTTGGATGTTTGGACATATGATCCTCAACTTTTTAAACATACTCGACAATTTAGGGTATGTTTTAGACCATACATAACTCCCTCAAGAGAACCTATATTTAAAAACAAAAGTATTAGTTAAATGTATAAAAAAATAGTATTTTATAAAAAATATTAAATTAACAAATACCTATTCCATCCATCCATGTTCTCCACCACCCACAAAAATTCATTGGGCTCTTTTCCTAAAAAAAACCTTGATTCAGAATATATAACAAAATGGCACGGACATCGTCGTGAGCCGATATATCATTGAACCGTTGATTCAAGATAAGGAGCTCTAAATATTCTACAAGTAAAGTAGTGTCCGTGCAATATGGGAAGATTCTGGACCGAAATGTATTTTCACCGTATCTGTGTTTATACATTGTTGAAAATTCGATCATTGATCTAGGACACCGGCCCATGTAAAGTCCGGATACAATATAAAACTCCTTAGGCCCAAATGATAATGTACGTCTAGAAAACCCAAAATGTAGACGCTCAGTTGCGTCCGTTTCAGCAGTAGGACGCAACATATGCAGTAACAACCCATGAATAAGAAGTCCGTCTCCGAACTGAGCTGGTAGGTCCAACAAGTAACCGAAGCTAGTTGTTGAAAAAATATCCTGCACTGGTCCGTTCAAGCCACTCAAAATTTCATGCAATTTATGACATGAAGCTTTGACAGATATGTTACACATTATCATTTTGTTTGGAAGCTACAAAATTAAATAAACATTAAGGTTAATATAAGGTTTTATAAAAGAAAAATAATGTTAAAGAAGTAGACAAATCACACAATATATCACTTAATCATCATTTCATATATTCTATTTACTTTGTATAAAATACCAAAGGAAATTAATTGACAACATTTTTGTATTTTCTATACTAAGTATACCAAATATAGCATTGTACTTTGAAAATGGTGTGATAATAACATATTTTATAACAAACCCGAAACTACCAAAACACAATGTTATTTTATCAATACATTATACTTCAAAATATCTACCCATTATAAACATAGAAACTTCTTCAAATGGATAGTACATTGCTATTGTATGTATAATCGAGACATAAAAAATAACATACTTTATCACACAACAGAAACATGGAGTCATAAAATATATACAATGGTTAAAATTTCGTAGAAAAAGTTTTTTTTGAAGAAAAATGAAACAAAAAATATAAAACCGTAGGTTTTAGGAAACCTACGGTTTCTTTTTTTTTTCAAAAAAAAAAATCACAAAATCGACAATATATACAAATGTTTATTGGTTCTAATTTTTTTTAATTAAAAACCCGAAAAAAAAAATTAAACCGTAGGTTTTTTTGGAAACCTACGGCTTCGCAATTTTTTTTTTTTTGAGTTTTATGAAAAAAAAAATCATGAAGTAATAATATATATACAATTCCGATCATGTTGCATCAAATTTTTTTTTAAAAAAAAAAAAATCGTACGGTTCATACGAAACCGTAGATGTACAAGTTAGCACTGCACAATCTGTGCATTGCGCACTTGTACACCGTAGGTTTCGTATGAAAACTACGGTTTTATTATTTTTTTCGATTTTTTTTCAAAATAAAACTTAACCCCATACATAAAAACTACTCCTAATCAAGAACATGGTAAAATTTTGATGAAAAATAGATAAATCTGATTGTTCTTTGGATGCTCAATTGAGAGAAAAAAAAATAGTAAAACCAACAAAACAATAGTGAAAAATGATCTAATCTGAAAAATTAAACATTATATACTTTGGGCTAATAGGCTACGAAAAAGTAAACAAACCGTGAAACAATAGTTCATCACCACGAAAAAGTAGATTTCAAGCATTGACCGCAGTCAACGGGCGTTGATCGTAGTCAACTGTAAACCACCTACTCTTTCGTGGTCTATTTTGGCTAACATGTTTTTTTTGGCTATTTTTTCATAAATAATTAAACATTATGGTTAGATTAGTCTTTTCTTCTATTTTAAAAGTTTATCGAAGGATAAATATAATATTTAAAAGTTCATGTTTAAGAAAAATATGTTTGAAATTCTCCTATGTTAAAAAAACAATTATTTTTCTGTTGCATTTCAAACAAAAATGATGATAAGAGAAACTTCTAAATAAAACGCCACTTTAAAATGATAGACATTATTTGGATCGAGATAAAGTTTTGAAAGCTAGAATTGTAGTTTTTAAGTCAAAATCAAGTACAATAAATACCAATGATACCAAATTTTGCATAATGGTGTTATGGTGGTTCTCAAATTCATATCGACATAATTTTGTGTTAAATTTAGGAAATGAATCTAATATCATTTTCAAAACAAAATAAACCTTTTGAATTATTTTGCATTGGGAGCGTAAAAGACAAGTAATAGTCTTGGAGTTGATGGAAATGGTCCAAACTCGTAGCCTATTGAATGCTCATATTTAATGTGGATAACAAGTGTACGAGTGATTAAGACGTGAGATATGTTAAGAAAAGTATATGGTATATAGATCTTCACAAAAAGATCGGTTTCAGACCGATCCAAAAAAAGACCGGATCCAAAAAAAAGACCAAGACCGAGTCGGTCTAAAACAAGATCGGACCTAAAAAAGACCAGCCCGAGATCATCCCAGACCAGTCCTAAAAGAGACCGGAAAAGTCTGAAACCGAACGAGACCCGTTCGAAAAAAAAAAGACCGGTAACCAAAAAAATACCGAAACAGTCGGAAACCAAATGAGACCTGTCCGAAAAAAAAAAAAAAAAAAAAAAAAAAGACCGGTAACCAAACTTTATAAATATATAATTTTTGTGTTAATTATACAATTTTTAATCACAAACTATCTAATTTATTTCATTTTTCTTTTTTGAAATTTAAATTAACATTTTTAATAAATCTTAATTTATCATTTTGGTGATAATCTCACATTTGTTAATGGAAAAAACTCAAAACCAAAACAAAAGAATCGAAAAATACCGAAACCAAACAAAAAAAACCTGTAAATCGAACCGAAAAAGGCACACAAAAAGATCGAGAGACGAGACCGAAAAAGACCGGATCAAAAAAGATCGATCCGAAAAAAGACCGGCTCGGAAAAAAAACGAGACCAATCCGAAAAAGCCCGTACCGTTCCGAGACCGATCTCAAAAAGACCGGACCTTTATGAGACCGTACCAAGACTGGTGTGGGACCGCCAATGTGCAACTCTAATGGTATGCCTTGAAAACATGATGTGTTCAAGGGTCTTATACTTCGTAAAGCATGGTCTCGCTTAGGATGTGGTCCAGACTTGCTTTTAGTTTGATTTATCGTTAGTGATTCGATCTAAACCTTATTAGTGATTTGACATTGGATTATAGATGATCTAACACATACGAGACACAAAAAGGTCATTGGTCGATATGCTGATCAACTCAGTCACAAAAAGACCAATTCGGTTCGAACCAATTTGAATATTGATATTGATTGCCATAAAAAAGCAGAAAAAGACAAGTATTAGATTTGTTCCGAAAAAAAGTCGAGACCGAACTGGTTCGAAACAAGACTGATCCAAAAAAAGATTGGATCGTTGCGAGACCAGTACCAAAAAGTAAGAGACTGTTTCGAGACCGACCCAACTCAAGACCAATAAGATCGGTTTCAGAAAGACCGTAAGCAAAAGTTTATATACATATTATCTTTTATGACATTTGTTAATCATATATTATGTTATTTCTCCCTTATTTATTTTATTAAATTTTTGTGTATCATTTTTAGTAAATCTTAACTAGCCATTTTAATGTTTGTTACATATTTGTTAACCAAAAAACTCGCACTGAACTGAAAAAATACAGAAACCGAACATAACCCCCCCCCCCCCCCCCACTCTCTAAAAATAAATCGAAAATGATACACGTAAAGACCGTGAGAGTAGACTGGTCCCAAAAAGACCGAACAAAAATACAATTTGAAAAAGAAACAAACAAAAAAATATCGACTCGAGATCATCCAAGAGTGGTCCACATTGTTTATGCATACCAATAATGATGTTGTTTGGCATTTTACAACAAAATCATTTGTAAAATAAATGATTATGTTCCTAAAGCTGATCATTAAAAGGCAACACCTAACAATTTGCTAGATGAGCATTTTGTAAAACAAAGACAAAATTATATAAATGATTCATGCGGTATATTAAAGTTCACAAATTCAAGTTTTATTAATTTTTTTTATGTAATTTTGTTTTTATTTTATGTTTATGAGTTTGTAACTTTTATATCCGTTTACTTTTTAAAATGTTGTTTTGATCGGTTTACTTTGAACTTTGTAAAATATAATTTTTACTGTTCCATTTATTAAACTTTCATGTTTATCCCTCATAGAATATATATATATATATATATATATATATATATATATATATATATATATATATATATATATATATATATATATATAATTTGATTTTTCCTTAATAGATCTCGTTAGTTAACCTAAAAAAACTATTTTTTATGTGCTTATTTTTATATATGTGTCAGTATAAATTCAAGGTTGTTAATGTTTCGATGTGAATTGGAATTGTTGTTCGTTATTTTTTTAAAAAATAATAGTTGTTTTTTATGCACGTGTTGGTTTAAATTTGAGTTTGTCTAAGTTTCGAAATAATTTTTTTTATATTTCCATGCTTAATTTTTTGTACTTTTCATACGTATAAGTCGGGTTTACGTTAACGAACGAAAATTATTATATGAGACCCAACTCATACATAGGAAACGTATATAAAATTAAACACAAAAACATAAAAAAAAAAATAAAAAAAAAAAAAAAAAAAAAAAAAAAAATTACATCCAAAGGTAGACAAACTCAAGTTTAAACCAACATATATATATAAAAAACAAGCAGTTTTTTTTAAAATAATAATAACGAACGGAAGTTTAAAATTCACGTTGAAACGTTGTCCATATTAAATTTATATGGACACATATATAAAAATAAGCACCTATAAAATGAGTTTTTTTAGTTAACAAACGAAAATTATTAAGGAAAACCAAATTATATATATAGTACATAGGATAAACACAAAAGTTTAATAAATGAAGATGGGAAAAATAACATTTTATAAAATTCAAAATGAAAGACATTTTAAAAAATAAAAAATGGAAAACATACAAACTCATAAACATAAAGAAAAATATAGACAAAATTACATAAATGGTTCCTAGAATTTATCCGTATTTACAAACTCAGTTTTCTGCTAACTGAAAAAACTAAATTACCATCGCACTAACATACGACAACTAAAAAGAATCATTCACACAAGTTTTGAAAAATACATGGACAATGTCCTTCAAAAAAAAACAATGAGTGAGTTTATGAAATCATAGGAATCAATTTATATAATTTTGTGTAAAATAAATGATCATAAATATATAAAATATAAATAAATAAATAAAAAATCTTTAATTATTTCGCCAAATTAAAAAAAAAAAAAAAAAAAAATAGAAGTAGTTGTCATTTTCTCCGTAAGTTTGTATTTTAAAATTCAAGAAACGGAGTAGAAAGTGCATCGTGCTCCAAGGCCAAGTGTTCAAAACCCTCTGCACAAGTTCAGATGGAGTGAAGGCTCGCATTTCCATCACTCACCTCTCTGCAACACTTCGCATTCAATACGATTCCTACCATTACACTGCCCACTGCTTCTGCAACACAAAGACAAACCACATTCAAATCCCCTACCATTA